AGTGTACGGTGTCCCCAAAGTCTGAGGGCAGCACAGAGCTGTGACACAGAGGGCACTGGGTGAGTGTACGGTGTCCCCAAAGTCTGAGGGCAGCACAGAACTGTGACACAGAGGGCACTGGGTAGCCATAAGGTGTCCCCAAAGCCTGCCCTTAGCAGCACAGAGCTGTGACACAGTGCATTATGTGTTTTTTTCCCCTTAGTTCAAAAAGCATTTTATTGAGCCCAAGGGGACCCAGTGTAACCAAGGGGCCAGGTTAGAGGGGCAAAAAGGTAATCTGAGGATTTGGTCAGTGGATAAGGGAGCATATCTAAGCCTTCTGCTTCTCCTCACAGGATCTGATGGGAGCTTTCTGAATCTCAAAAATTCACTGGGGTTGGAGGTGGTGGGGAGAGTCAGCCGTCCTTGACCTGGTAAGGGCCAACCCATGCTCTTGGTACTGGAGGAAAAGGGCTACTTAGTAGGAAACGGAGAGAAGCTGAGCTGAGTCCTCTGGGTAGTAGGTAGAGGTCAAAAAGTCTATGAAAATGCATGAGGCTCCTAATTATGTATTATGTGGGTGAAGGGTATCTTCTTTAGTACAAAGCTTAAATTTCACTAAGACTTTGGGGACATCCTCTACATACATAACAGACCACTGAACAGGGTCAGTGAAAGGAAAGGTTAGGTGAGAGGGCTATGAGAAATCTGAAGGAGGAGGTCCTTGCTAAGGGGAGGCCACAATGGTTTGAGATATTTTGGAGAGGGCACATGGGGGGTGGGGAAGGTAATGGGAGTCTGAACTCACCCTTGAACAGAGGGAAGTATTTCAATAAGCAAAGGCTGGAAGAAAAGGAGAGAAGTGAGAAGGTGGGGAGATGGCATAACAAAGGCTGGAGAAGCCAGGCAACTCAAGAGGAAAGTGAGTCTATAACTGGAATGTCCTGGAAACAATGAGAAGTGTTACGAGATGAGGCTCACATTAATCAAATAATTACAGAAGCAAAACACTGAACGGGAACTCTGTGCTCAGTGTTAGGACAAGAGCTAGCAAGGTATAAGACGTAAAACAAGATAACTACAAATCCCTAATATTAAATGATAAGTGAGACTAGTGTGAAAAAGACCAAGGGTGGAGTGGAGGCTGTGAGAGGGAAGGTTCCTAGCTCCAGTGAAGGAAGGAGCATCGCACCTGGGCTTTAACTCAGGGGTTGAGCCTGACAAAGAAGGGGAGGCTGGACACTGTAGGTGGGAAGCAGTGGGGAGGCAGAGAGGCCCAGGGGGTATGTGGGAATGCTGGAAAAGAGAAAGCTGAGCTACAAATACCACAGAACAACCACTCTGGCAGCAGCATGGAGGATGAGGACCTTTCCCGAGGCTAGCGAAAGGGTGGCAGGGTAAAGGGAGGAAAAGGCAGATATGAATAACATCAGAGGCAGGATGGCCGAGGACCTCAAATGCTGGCCACAGGCAGCTGTGTTTTACTGCATGCTATCTCACTGCAGAAAGGGAGAATGTGATCAAACTGTGTCCGGAGGCAGGAAGGCCGTCGTTCATCAAGTGAGCCATCAGAACAACATGGGGATCGACCGCAGAAGGTCGGAGTTGAAAGGCACCAAGCCAAGTTTTCCTAGCCCTGAGGCTGGGTAACATGGCGTAAAGGAGAAAGCCCCAGATTTGGAGCTGCGAGATGTGTGGACAGATCCTGGCTCTGCCATCATCCGTCTGTCACCTGTAGGACAAATCACTCATCCTCTGGTCCTCCAAAACTGAACGGAGGAGATGGCCTCTGAGGTCCCCCCCAGAGCTAAATCTACAACCACCTTATCCTTCCAGATGCATAATTTCCTATCAAGGCCCTGGAAGCAGAGATTAGGGATCAGGCCACCAAGTCTGGAGAGGAAGCTGTGCAGACAGAGCAGGGTGGGAAGACGGAGGTTTGGGAGGCAGATCTGCGGCCTAGAATGGGCACACAGCTCACCGCGTGGTCACGTGGAGGTGGGCGCAGTGTCCACGCCACGAGAGGAGGCGACATCTAAGCAAGTCCCAGCCTCTGAGCTTGGTCAGCAGGGAAAGAGCCACAAACACGGGAGCGACGAGCATTCTGATGGACCCAGACACGGAAGAGCAGCAGAAGCATGAGGCAAAGTCTTCTGGAGCCTGGCTGCCTTCTGGCTTCACAGTTCCTTGGGTAGCAGGAGGCAGGATGCGATAGGACTGAATGGCAAACTGGCAAGAGAATATGTCTCAAAAAGGAAGCAAAGATCCACAGGAGGGAGGTTCAGTGACATTCCCACTGTCCGAGAGATTGTTAGCAGCAAAGCCTACAAGGGGATGCAGGTTTCCTAGGGAGAGAAAGCAATTTTATCTAAGTCCACAGACACATCGGAGAGCCAAGGCTCGAACTCAGACTATCAAGAGGCCTCGAACACCAGTGCTCGTCCCAGAACACCCCATGTTTCTTCCTTGCCATGGGAAGCAGCCTTTCCAAGTATAAACAAGTCTAGAGCAGACTTGCCATTCTGGAGCTTTTTTTCTTTGGCTAGGCAATGGGGTTAAGTGACTTACCCAGGGTCACACAGCTAGTGAGTGTTAAGTGTCTGAGGCCAGATTTGAACTGGGGTCCTCCTGACTCCAGGGCCGGTGCTCTATCCACTGCGCCACCTAGCTGCCCCATTCTGGAGCTTTTGAGGGCTGATCCCTCAGCTCATGTTTTGTGCACCACAGTTTTACTGAATTCGGTAAAGCTTCAGGTCATTCATTTCTAGACCCTGGGAATTTGGAGAGGCCTCTGACCCAGGCCTACCTAGTCTGAACATGAATCTGCTTGAGGACACACACCACAGGACCCACGCTTGAACAAGCATCCCTCCTGTTACCCTGACGGCCATTGTGGCTCCAGCCCTCGCCAATCACCATGTGAGGCCATTGAGCCAGGAAGACAGGGCTCCGCTGCTCTGCTGCATCTCGGGCCCACCAGCAGCAGGGCAGGCTGCAGGCCGGCAGTTCTGCCCATGGCCGCCAGCCCCACTCCACCCGGCCCCCGGTGAGCCTGGCGGCTGGTCCAGCTGTTTGGTCAGCCCGCCTTCTTTGTGGATTAGCTGTCCCTGTGATGACAGGCGCCACACGCCTTCTCCAGCCTGACTCCCATGCATCGTTCCAGCTGGTTCCTGCCTGCCGAGCCTTCAGTTTTCTCTGGTGTCCACTACAGTACAACTTAGAGTACTCCATCATTACCAGAAACCTGGTCTAAAGATGGGCCTTTCTTCATGTGAGGATTGCACATTGTTTCCCAAAGGCAATGAATGTGATCTACTCTGCTCTTCTGTTAGGACTTGTCTTTTTGGGGTGCCTGCTCATGGTAAATGGACCCACAATAAGCTCTGCCCAGGATCAGCCCAGCCAATTGTATCTCACTGTTCAGACCAGGGGCGTCAAATTAAAATAGAAATGGGCCCTCTAACTGGCACAGAGGATCCTTGCAGGTCACACGGTGAACTAGTTTTAAAATGGAATGTTTCTGTTTTCTTGTATTTTATTTACTTGTGAAGTGTTTGCCAGTGAGATTTTCCTCAGAGTGGTCTAAACAACAGCTGCTGTTCTTCCACATGGTTTTTCCTGTCCTTTAAGAGGCCCTGCTGCACCCTGGAGCCTGATGCATCAATGCAGGGTCATCTGAAGAGGTTCTTTCCAGCTGGGCCTACGAGCTGGCTCTCCTCCCTGTCTCCACCATGTTGTTAATACGCATAGTGCTGAACACGGTGCACTCGGTTGTTAATCTGTGAGGGAATCGTGGATGATTTCTGGCAGAGGCGAGAGGCTTCTTTCTATGCCGCAGCATAAAGAGAACCTTGACGGGGCTGCTCACTCTGCAGAGTCTGAATTCCTCCTGGAAAGCAGCATTCGGCCCGGCACTCTCTGCCCCCTTCCACTCTGCGCACGACACAAACACCACCTGCTTCTGCCCTTTTATCGAGGACATCTTTGGAGCATCACGTGCAGATCATTCTCCTAAAGACTCAGTGACCGTGCAGTAAGAGGAAGGAGAGCATAAATTAGAACATCATCTAGGAAAGAGGCCCTTCTACTTCTGGCTTGGGGGCAAGGGAAGACTTGGGAAGGCTTCATGGAGCACTGGCACCTCGTGGAACTGGGCCTATCGAGATAGAGAGATCCCAGTCCAGGTCAGCCCTGGGACCAGAGAGAGCAGGCACAGGCAACCAGGTGGGAAACGGCATGTGTACCTTCATGGACTCATGGCACAAGGGGGACATAGAGGGCGTTTTGCTCTCCACCCTCATCTAATGCCTAAAATTTTAGATGCTTAAACCCTCTCCCTTCAAAAGTATACTTGGCACCAAGGTCTTCAGAAATAGGCTAGGCCAAGACACCTTCCCTAGGTCACTGCTTATAGCTTCACATGCTAGAACACAAGATGCCATGGAAAGGGCCCGGGCCGTTGAGCCTTAGGTTCAAATCTCGGCTGTGTTACTTATTATCTGGGTGACCTTGAGCAAGTCACTTCAATTCAATGGAAATGGCTATTCATTAAGCTTCCCCTGTTCACTGCCCCTCTGGGCCTCAGAAATCATTAATGCCCCCAATTCTCTGATCTTCTACTCCATGGCCCGTGACTCTACTCCCAGAAACTTCCAAATCCCTACTGTTTCACACGGGCCTCAGAGCCACTTGGCTAAATGACAGGACAATCACACCAGGAGAAGGGCAGAAGAGCCTGGAGCTGTGACTCGGAGGCGAAGGTGCAGATTCCCAGGCTCGGCTACTTCCTGCTTGGCCACCAGGGATGGTTCCATTTGCCCTGCCTGGTCCTCTACTTCCTTCATCTGGAAAAGGAAGGGACTGTTCTTGGTCAAAACACTTCCTACTTGATACTTAGATTCTTGGGTTTATCTCATTCAAAAGCATGCCCTTGGCTCATCAGTCCTGCTAGCTATCCCTCTTTCTCTCTTTTCCCTTCCAAAACCAGAGAAAAAGCTGTCAGCAGGTGACCTCCTCCTCACGCTCACACCTGGCTCCAGCCCCATCAACACACCGAACCGGCTCTCTTCAAGGTCACTGATGACCTTTTCTCAGGCCTTGGCCTCTCAGATCAGCCTCCTTCTCGGAGAAGCTCTCTTCTCCCTGCGTCTTCACGCCACCACCCTGGGCTCTCCTCCTTGCCCAGAGCTTTCTCAGCAGTCTCCTTGGCAGAGTCCTCACCTGGGTCCAATCACGGGACAAGGGCAGACCTCAGGGCCCTGTGCCAAGCCCTCTCTCTTCTCGGATAAATCACTTCATCAACTCCCATGGATTGCCCAAGCCGTTCGCTATCAATGACTTCCAAGCCTGCATGCCAAGCCTTCATCTCTCTCTGCTCGGTGCTCAGCTCAGGTCCCATACAAGCCTCAGCGACATCTCCCAAATACAACCTGTTATCTTTACTCTCCAAAATCCTCCTCCTCTTCCTCCTTCCCTCCTTTTAATCCCCAAGGCCTGCAGCTTCAAAACTATCCAGGGCCCTTCTCTCTCCATCACGCACCCACCCTGACAGGCTGCCTGGCTCTTCCATCCCACCTCCATGACAGCCCTTCGAGGCATCTGGCCTTTTTTCTCTCCTCTCAGAACCAGCAGTTGAGCTCAAAATGACTTTCTCTCTCGCCTCCCTCTCGATCTCTCTGAGACCCCTAAAACACAGATCTGCCCATGCCACTCCCTGCTCAGGAAATGCCATGTTGCCTCCTCCTGCATTCCTCAGACCGAAGACCAACTCGTCTCTTGGTATCTGAAGCAGAAGACAACTGGGCCCAGCTCTTCTGCATCTGCACACCTTCTACGTCTCGGCCATTCTGCCCCCCCCCCCAGACAGGCTGTGGGGCACACTGTGCCCGTGAGCAGCTGCTTCCCCCACCTGGCTCCCCCTCCCCCACTTCTCTGGTAACGGCTCAGTGTTGGTGTCCCCCCCAATCCCCCTATTACTCTGTACTTACTTCTTACACACTACTGCTGGCTGAGCAAAATGGAAACCCCTCAAAGGCAGAGACAGTCTCATTTTATCTCTTGTACTTCCAAGCCCCGCACAGTGCCAGGCACACACGAGGTCTTTCCCAAACGCACGCTGAGAGTAATCAAGGGGCGGGGAGGGCGATGTGTCCTTCTACGGGGATAACATTGTAAAGAGCTTCGATAGCTTGTTTAATTTAAAAAAATAACATCAAGGGCATAAAGGAAAACTTTTTTAAAGGAGGAAATCTATGAGAGAAAGGGAAGGGGATCTGGAAGATGGAATCATCTGGGACATGAAGAACTGAATTTCAGAGCAGTTCAGGATGTGTGTGTGTGTGTGTGTGTGTGTGTGTGTTCATATGTGAGCGTACAGGAGTCTGTGTATGTAAGCGTGTACGCACGAGCACGTGTATGAGTGTAAGCGTATGAGTGCCTGTGTGTGAGTGTGAGTGTTGAAGAGCTGACCAAATACGTGTTTCATAATGAAGACCTCTTGGTTACAGTGATATCCTGTTGAACGCCGTTAAGTTGCAGGTAGGTAGGCCAGAAGAAAAGGAAGGGAGGGAAGGAGGAAGGGAGAGGGGGAAAGAGGGAGAGATGGAGGGAGGTCCCCCACTCACGTCTCTCCCAGCTACATACAATGCATGCCCAGGTCTTTCCCTCCCGTCCTTCTGACAGAATGCTGCGGAGCTCTGAGCTCCTGAGGGTCTGGCCTAGGTTTCGGTTAACATGCATACACCGCTGCTGAGGACAGACTGGGAGGGCAGTCTCCACCTCTCCTCCCAGACTCTCCCTGAACTCTGGAGTGGAGAGTGTGGCAGATTACAGAATCAGTGTTGGAAGGGACGCCTGAGGCTCCTCATCCAGCCCAACCCTACCCAAGAATCAGCCCATCGGTGTGTGCACCAACCGCCCGGAGCCCTCAAGGGAGGCCTCCCCATCCATCTTCAGATACAGCCTATTCCTGTGAAGGTGAGGCTTTTCCTGGCATCTAGATGGACTGTGCTCCTCTGCAGTTTGCCCCTATCCACTGGGCCTAGTCGCCCTCCCCCTCCTCCAGTTAGCTCCGGGCAGTTTGGCTGCTGGACCCTCCATGGCCTCCGTTCCTTCTGCTGCACCTCAAGAATCTCTGGCAGGGCTCCCACCTGTCAATGGCCTCCACGACGTGGCCTCCCACGATATGTCACCCAGCTATACCTCAGCACCCAGAAATGCAGCAGCTGACCCTGATCCATCCATAAGAAATTGCATCTGGGCAGATTCAGCCCTGGGCTCTAGCTGCCAGTCCAGCCCGCTGCCTCCCCAGCTCATATCAACTGTGCCCCGTCGTGGATGAGGAGGCCGAGTGGCCCCCACAGGGTCAAAGGCAGAGCCCTCCAGCAGTGACTCCAGGGCACAGACACTAACACTTGAGTTTGCTTCAGCAAGAAAAAAAAGGACACATATAAAAACCAACATCCACTTCGTTCCCAAGTTCATCATATCTCATGGCTCACTGAAACGTATGCCCAGGGCCACCCATCCCAGCACACTCCCCAGGGCAGACCATATGGTGCGAGGTGCACAGGGCCCTGCACTGACGTGACTGAGGGGTATTCAGAGCACAGAGAAGGTTTCATCTGGACTCCTAGAAAGCTGAGGGCTTCTTCTTGATCACACGGCAAGCACTGGCTGGGGGGAAGCCTCCCCCCACAAGTGAGGAGGTCCCCCGCCAGCCCTCTACTCTCTAAATCGCTGGCCGACAAACCCCAGCTTCGATGCCTGCTGTCCTCCAGAACAGCCTGTGTAACAACTCCATAAATACCTGTGGCACTGGCTGTCCGCCCAAAGGAAAGGCGATGGGTGGTGTGGAGGACCCAGCAGTGGCAGGCGGGAACTGTGGTCTTATTTGCGTCCCACCTCGGGGCATGGCTGTAGTCATCATCTTTGAGGACAGAGGGATGACAGACAAAAGTAATCGCAAAACAGGAAACACAGGCAGGCTCTGGGCAGGATGAAGAGAAGCACATGCAGCCTCTGGGAAGGGAACACTAGTGAGCTTTGGGCGGGTGGGCAGGGCCCAGGCAGCTGGAGAGAGTTTCAAGGTCCTGAAGCAACTGATAAGGAGATTCAGCAGCAAAGAAAAAAGATTTCTTTTGGGGAAAGTTGGGATCCTCCTCTTTCAGCTTCCTTTTTTAAAATTCCAAACATCTTGAGTTTGAAATAAATCTTGGGAAGTGCATATGCAAAAAAATAAGATCACAGGGCTTGAGGGGGCCTTAGGAATCAAGTCCAATCTGCTCCTTTTACAGAGGAGGAAACTGAGGTCCAGAGAGGGGGAGTGATTTGTCCAAGGCCAAACAGAAGAGAAGCAGGATTAGAGCCAAGGTCCTCGGCCTCACGCCCTCAGCTGCCCGGCCCTGGGTGGCCCTGCCAGCAACTTGGCAAGGGAATTCTTGGATTCACCCCCTCGGGGAAAAATCCAGAAGGTGGCTTCCCTTGCTGCACTAACCACCTCCAAAACCCAGAGGCAGCCATCATGAAGAGAGAAACAACTCGGGCAGAGCATGTCCACTGCCTTGGCTCAAGACCTTCCTTCTCTGCCCCAAAGGCCTGAGCTCAGAAGCAGGTTTTATGAAAGATCCTGTCTCTCCTCCTCTCGGCCTTGGCATGGGGACATGCCCCCCAGCTTGGCTCCCAGTTTGGGAGAAGGATGGCGAGGGGCAGGCACTTGGCGTGTGCTAGAGTTTCTAAACAAAGTTGTTTAAAAGTCATTTCAGACTCCGTAACCCTGACAACGTGCGTGTGCGTGCTTTGTCACCAGCTCCTCTGTTTGTTACCTGGAGTCAGACATCTGCTGTCCCGGGGTCTGCTCGGCCACATTCCAGGCAGTGAGCAGGTGAAAGAGGAGGGAGGGAGGAGGGCAGCACCTCTCTGCGCAGGGAGAGGATGCGTGTGCTAGTTAAGATTAACAAAGCCAAGGAAGGACAGAGAGCGGCCGACAAAGAGGAGCAGGAAGCAGCAGAGGAACACGCAGACCTCCCATCGGCCCATGGCTAGCTCTGTGTGCTTCAGTCCATGCAGCCATGGGGGGGGGGGGGGGGCGGCAGAGGCAGGGTTCCGAAAGGAAAACCCACCAGCATCAGGCCAGGAACAAGAACCGGACCGTCTGGACCCCCAAGCCAGGCTGGGCCGCTCCACCACACCTGCTTGCGCCTCTGACTCCACCTAGCACCCAGAGGCACAGAAGCGAGATCCCCCCCCCCCCCTCCAGGCCAGCCCTCTCTCCTCTAGCTTCATCCATAAAATGACACAGACTAACTAGGCTGGTGCCATGGCCCAGCAGAGAGCGTCCTCTGGCAACAAGAGGAATTCTTTGTCCTTAGAATATGTAAGCAACGGGCCAACAGGGCTTCCTGCGGAGGGGCACCTGAACAAGAGGTCACTGACCCTCTCGGAATGTCAGCACAACACCCCCATGCCCCTTAGTCCCCAAAGTGCTGTCTTCCCTGTGAGGAATGTGGCACGAGGCTTATTCTCCCCAGTTTACAGAAGACCAAACTGAGTCTGGTTAGTAAATGACCAGGCCTGGTCTTCTGCTTCCAAATGGAGGCTCTGCCCACCATCATAGCTGCCTCTGTTTCTACGCTAAGAGAAAGGAAGGCAAATGTGGGCCCAGCTCTGGTTACAGCTGCCACAAACTTGTCTGACCAGAGAGGCTCCCGACACTCTGAACCCTGCCCGTTGCCCCTCGCCCTGAGGAGCCACCAACCCAGGGAAGGGGCAGAGTCAATGTCCAGGGATTTGCTGGCACGTCTGGGCCAGTCCATTGCCATTTGGGGAGCACCGCTCCAAAAAGCATGCAGATGCCCTGACAGCACCACGAAGCCTCCTGAGGCCTGTCCACTATCCCAATCTGCCCCATCCCTGCCCCTAGGCCTCAGCCACAACGGGCAGCCAGTAAGCCAGGGATCACACCCATGGGAGCTGAAACTCTAGAAAGGGTGCCACTTAACCCACACCAAAACACATGGCTGAGGAAGAACACCTTCCTCTCGAGCCACGTCACAGGCCATATGGGCGGCTGGCCTGCGGCCACAAAGCAACTTGCTGATGTAGTCTGCCAGCTTCACCAAGGGAGCGGTGAAGGCCCTACCACGCGAGCAGCCAAGTCTCCACGGCTCCAGTTCGGGCTCCCAGAGAAAGTACTCCTGGCCCCCCTGTGATCCCCATTTAAGCCGCCGTTGGCTTGGGATGGCGCCAGGAGCCGGGGCAGCCTCTGACGCAGAGCTGCTTAACAGAAGATCTCGGAGGAACGCCACGCACTGGGGATGCTCACCTTGAGCCTGGCCTGGCCAGGAACAGGAATTACCTGTTGACAGAAAACCTTCGGGAAGATTCACCAACTTAAGTGCTCCAATCTCTCTGCCCCCAATTCCCAAGGGGAGAGACCCTCACAGCCCCCTCCAGGAAAGGTGGCCACGAGCAACTAGAGCCCCCTGGCAGTGCCAGGGCCGCTGGCCAACCAGCCCTGCAGTCGGTCCTTGCCCTCCTCCTCCACAGTGCTCTGTGGAGGCTCAGAGTCTGAGAAACAGCTGGGGAACAGGGGACTCCCCTCAAAGTTCACTGAGGTCATAAGCCAAAAGCTCCCTCCTAGGAAAGGTCACCAAACTCCAAAGCAGAGAGCCCAAGGAAGCAGCCAGTCCATCTGTTTGTCCAAACAACGAAGTGTACACACGGAGGCTCCCCTCGGGGAGAGGAGGGCGGCGGGTCGCCGTCCAAGCCGGGGGGCCACACTCGCCTCTCTTAGGCTTTCACTTTGGGCTTGAAACGACAAGCATGGATGCAGGCCCAGTACAGAGCTCCAAATACTAAGAGGCCAGCTGATGCCAGACCCTGAGTGGGGCGAGGCCTACTCTGGAGAGGGCGGTGGAGGAAAGGGAGGTGGGAAGAGGAGAGGGCAGAGCTGTGGGGCTGGCGACAGCCCCACCCCGTGTGAAGACACAAAAGGACAGCAGAGCCCCAAGACGTTGGCAGAATCCTGTCTGAAGCTGGGGGACAACCCCCCCCCAGCCAATGCTGTTTCCAGCTCCCACCAAGGGGTAGTGCACATGAGTCCGGCCCCTCTCGGTGGCTTGCACGGTGACTGAGGGACAGAGGGGTCTAGTGGTCGGTCTGTCGGAAAGAAAAACTGCTGGACGGCTCGCCCTGGGGGAAGAGCCGACTCCGCTTTGTGAAGGGCCTGTGCCGCTCAGCTGAGTCTGGGACGCGGCCAATCTGATCGCGGGGGCTTTATGGAGGCCACTGTGGGCGCCTACCCTGGCCCTGCCCCCAAGAAGAGGACGGGGGGCCTCCAGAGCTTGTCTGACCAAGGCCAGGCCTCCTGGCACACACCAACAGGTGGTCACCAGCTCCTTGCCCCATCACTGGCCCGAGCAAGCGCCTTCAGGGCACCGGCCCAGGGCTTTGGCAAGTTCGCCACCGAACAGGAGGAACAGGTCGAGCCTCTGAAAGCTCAGGACCAGCCCGTCAGAGCTGAAAGGCGCTTCCAGCACCGTCTAGACGCTAACGACCTCGCTCTGCAGAGGACACTGAGACCAAAATGGGGGGGTCTTGGCTGCACAACATTTAAAGAACATTTCCAGTTTCATAGACATCATCCACCTCTTCCAAATAACACGCCCAGGTGAGGCGTGAGCTGAGCGAGTGACAGGTCAGTTACCGCCCTCAACGTCCTCCCCGAGGTGGCCTGGGCCACGAACCAGAGCATCTTCCCTGCAGCAGAGCAGGGGCAGGATCCACGGGGACAGATCACCATGCTACGTCCGATGCTAGGGGGCCGATCCTGCCCGACTCCCCGAGCTTGAGCCCACAGAGACAGAAGGGCGAGAGAAACCTCTCCCAGCCCATCTCGTCCTGACCTCACCCCGCGGGCCGAGCGCACGAGGTGGCCCCGAGCTCGGGCCCGCGGCCTCCCAGCAGCGACTACGGCCTCTCACCCGAAGTAAGGAGGCCCCACCCAGGCCATCACCCTTCTTGCCGGTCCCCCGAAGCGGCAGAAAGGGGGAGAGGAGGGAGAAGTGGACACCCAGCCTGGAGGCGCAGAAATGCCATCAGTCACCAAGCCTGTTTCCAACCCCTCTGCTTTTTCTCCGGATGGTCCTTTGGGACCCCTATGCCCTGACATTCCAATCTCATAATCTCACAGGTGGGGTAGAAAGACAAGAGAAGAAGAAAGCAGAGGGCAGAAGGAGAAGGCGTGACATGCCCAGGTTCTTCTCTGTTCAGCACAAAGGAAATGAAGAGGGATGCTAGATACGGACCAGCATCACTGACACCCCAGGCAGGGGCCATCCAGTGGGGATGAGTGCACACCTGTGCCCCCACTCCTCAGGACAGACATGCAAGAAGAATCCAGCCTCCTGCAGAAGAATGGCCAGGACCCTCCTCAGAAGGCTCCCCGAGGCCAGACTCCATGCACTTGCTGCAGGCCGGACTGCCAGGCCTGCCCTCCCTTACCTGTCCTCCTGCGGCGGCGGCTGCAGCTGCCGCGGCAGCGGCGGCAGCCATCTGAGCGACCTGGGCTGCCTGCGCTGCAGCTGCCTGCTGCTGCTGCTGCTGCTGCTGCTGCTGCTGCTGCTGCTGCTGGCCTGCTGCTGGGCCTGCTGTACAACCATCTGGGCTCGGACCTTGAGGACGAAAGTGAGCAGATGCTGGATGTGAGGTTAATGGACCCGGACGCCGGCCCACAGGTGACCTCGCCTGAGAACGCGTTGTGCACAGAACGCAATCTCGGCACTGGAAGAGGTGCTGAGGTGAGGCCCAGGCCGTGACCCTGGGAGGACGCAAGGGCTCAGGGCGTCCAGACTGAACTGACCAAGCATCCTCTGACCGGAGGTGTAAAGGAGGATGGCCCCTGGGCCCTAGGCTCTGTCGGGAGCTGAGGAACAGGGATGCTGTTTACATTCCCTGTGCCTTCGTTTCTCCTTCTGTAAAACTGGGGATGCTCCTCACTGAGAAAAGTACTCTGTCAACAGAAAAGCTGATGAGAAATGGAGCTCCCAGTGACCCTGCAGCCCCATCGGGCAGCGCTCCTCGTCTCTGACCAGCGTGAAGAACGGCCCCATCCCGCCCCAATCCTCAGGGCCCACGAGCCTTCACAGCCTCACCTGCATCACTTTGAGCTGCTGCGGGGTGAGCATCATTTGCCCGGAGAGCGGCTGGGCCTGCGGTACCAGCGGCTGCGCCTGCGGCGGGAGCTGGGGCTGCTGGCTCTGAGCCCCCTGCTGCTGCTGCTGTTGGGGCGGTGGTGCCTGCGTCGGCGGCGGCGGATGGTGGTGCAGCTGCTGGAGCTGCTGCTGCATGGCTTGGGAGGGCGGTGGCGGCTGCTGGGGCGGCTGCTGGGGCTGCATGGCCTGCTGCTGCTGCTGCTGGAGCTGCAGCTGGGCGATGCGCAGCTGCTGCTGCTGCTGCTGCTGCTGCAACTGAAAGCAGAAAACAGGCACATTCCCTGTTACCGGTGGAGCCCTGCACACCTGGCAAGGGGAGGGCCGCTGTGGGGCCGGCCGCCAAGCTCCAAGGGAGCCCTGGGGTCCAAGGGCCGTCGGGACAGTCAGTTGTGATGCAGGAACACCTGAGGGGAGCTGCGGTCACTGCGGGCCGGCAGGCCTCACTCGGGGCTCAGTGCGGGAGGGGGAGGTGACCTTTGTGTAACAACAAAGGGGATCAAGAGAACTCTTTTTAAAGAGCAATAAAACCGTCTAAGTGGGTACAAAAGGACGCTGGCTGTGGCAACTCTAGGCAGGGTTTGTCTGTATAAAGGAGGATCTGGAAGGTGGTGAGGACCTGTCTGGCTCCAGAAGCCTCTGCTAGCATTCCTGTCTGTGCGGTCACAGATCAGCTCTAACTGAGGCAGCAGGGGGCCATCAGAACTGGCTCCCACCCCTAGGCGGTTCACTTACAACCTAAGTCCTGATCTCTCAGACTCAGTTTCCTAACCTGAAAAATGGAGACAATAACAAGAACTGCCCAGTCTAACTTAAAGGGCTGTCTCGAGTTCTTTCTGTAAACACAATGGGAGTGGATGCTGTTTGGAAAGACGTCCCTCCTCACTTCAGGGTGTCAGAAAATCCTCTCAGGCTCTGACGCCCATGCTCTGGGATCCTCCACCTGTCTGCTGCAGTCAGTGCTCACCGGGGCCCAGGCCAGCTGGCCCCTCTCTCCTCCTCGTGCCTGACGCTCCCTGGCTCTCGGAGCCCTCCAGCTGCAGCACAGCCTCCTCCACTCTCCCCTTCCCACAACATGACCTGGTATTTGTTAACTACTGTGTAGAACGTGTATTTATTCACTTTATATTGCTGCCATATAGATTTGTATATGCACTACTTGTCTCCTATCAGTGCCCGATCCTCACAAGAAGGGACTGTTTCCTCTTTCCATCTGTACCCTCAGAGCCTGTCACATAGTAGGGATCTTCTAGGGAAAGCAGAGATGTCTAGCACATGTCGGGCCATCCTCCTTGCCATCCCTGCCTTAGGAGACGGCTTCTCTGAGTGGCTCGTCTAAAAGAAGGCGCCACCCAGGCTGACCTTCTGTGGACGAGCCCCAGGCCTAGCCACGCTTCCGCTCCACAGTGGGCCAAGGGGGCAAACCAAATGGTGGATCTGGTCTCACACGGGCAGAGAACAGGAGCTGACTTGAGCAAGGGAGAGACTGCAGAGCTGAAAATAACGTAAAGTCAAACTGAACTTGTTTTAAAAAACACAATCCCAGAGTTATTTTTAAAGAGCCAACAACAAATAGCAGGCAGGGGCACCCATGGAGAAGGGGCATTGGCTTCCAGCTGGTCTGTTGGCTGTTAGGCCTTGTCTTTCCTATCTTTCCTCTCTCCACTCACGTCACCACGGCCAGGATGGAGTCCTTCCTCTTCCACACAGATGTCCAAGCCCAACTTCTAAAGCACAAGTCTGCCCACGGCACTTCCCCAGATCTATTAGCTCCTCCATGTGGCATCTAAAAATCTTGACGAGGAATAAGCTTTATAAGGTACCTGCTGTGTGCCGGGTGCTATGCTAAGTGCTTTTTACAAATACGATCTCACTGGACCCTCACAACAACACTGGAAGGCAGGTGCTGTTATGATCCCCTTTTTACAGATGAAGAAACTGAGGCAAACAGGGTAGTTAAGTGGCTTGCCCAAAGTCACACAGCTAGTGAGAGTCCACGGCTCACCTTTTTATATGTGTTTGTGTGTGTGCGTGTATGTTTCTGTATGCATGCGTGTGCCCTGGTGTCTCTGAGTGTGTCTGTGTATCTGTTTGTCTCCGTGTGTCTGCGTGTATGCGTGCTTGTGCATGTGTCTCTGTGGGAGGGGGTGGGGAGGAGGGTTGGAGGAGAGATCCGTGCTTCCCCCTCCCATGGAAGGGATGCCCTCCGATTACAGGTTTGGTCTTGCCTCCGTCCTTGCGCAAGGCCTGTCCGTGCGCCCCTGGCAAAGTTGTCCTGTTTTGGCCCATGGTGCTCTAGGATGTCTGTAACCTGGGAAGAAAATCCCTGGCCCCATCCTCAAGCACCCCGATTGCTTGCTGGAGCTGAGGGCAGGCAGCCTTAAAGGCCTTAAAGGAAATAAAGGGGATTGAATCCAGATCTGCCCAGAACCTGACCTGGCCAGCCAAGGACCCAGGTTCAAACCCAATCTCTAACTCACTACCATAGGAGCCCCCGGGCTCGTCACTCGACCCACAGAAGGAGGGGTTCTGAACACATGGCTACCAGGAGGTCCCTGCTCATTCTGAGCCGTGGTGACTCCGATGCCTCTGGCCATAGACTCGCCCTCACTGGATGCCCACCTGACTCAGTCTACCACAACGTCTGTCCTTGTGTTGAGCCCAAACCTGTCCCCATTCTGACCTTGCTCAGAACTAGCCCTTGCTCCTTGTCGCCTTCTGCCAGGCTCCTTTCCTAGAACCTTCCCTGCCTGTGACATCAGAGGAGGAAGCCAATCAGACCTCCCTACAGAACAGCCGGCCCTCCAGTCCCGGCGGCTCACTCTTTGGGACCTGCCACCGCACAGAAGAGCTGGCCGCAGTCCTTTGAGGCTACCTGCCCCAGGTCCTGGCATCTGGACGGTGACCTTCCATTAATGAAGCCAAGGAAAGCATCGACCCTACCCCCCAAAGGCAATTCACCTCTGGAACACCTGAGGGCAAGCCTCACCCCCTCCCCAGCAATGTGGCCAGGGCCAGGGCTCCCCTGGGTTACTGTGACAACCTCTTCACTGGCCTCCCTGCCTCCAGCCAGCGTCCACAGAACCACCACAGAGTGGGTCTGACCACAGCCCCAAAGCCATTCATAAGGCAGCCTGCCTACCCCACACCCTGCAGGGCAGCCCCCTCCCACCTCAGCGCCTCCCCCCAGCACTCCTTCATTCCTTCCCTCACTTAGTGGAGCCGTTCCTGATTTCCTTCTGATTCCCAATAGCTAGTGAGGGCCCCGCCTCTGCACAAGACCTGGGACTTCCTGTCCATGTTTCTCAGTATTCTGATAGACGGTTATTAACAAGAGCGCTCCATTCCCAGCACCTGTCTGTGTCTGGCACACCACAGGAGCTTAATCAGTGCTGACTGACTCACTAGTGGGTGCGAGCAACAAGATGGCAGATTTCATATAAGGAAGACCTTTCCCACCATCGGCACTGAACAGCAATGAAAGGGGCCGCAGTCTCAGGAGGAGTCAGAGGACCCCTATCTCTAAAAGTCTTCCTTCACAAAGAGACTGGATGACGGCAGCTCACGGCCCAGTGGTTAGAGCCCAAGGCCTGGCGTTAGAGAGACCTGAGTTAAAATCCAGGCTCGGGCACATCCTAGCTGTGTGACCCTGGGCGAGTCTCTGTCTGCCTCAGTGTCCTGAACTGTAAAATGGGAATCATAATACTTCTGAGACCTGTCATGAGGGCGAAAGGAGGAAATATTTGTAAAGTGCTCAGCACAGCGCCTGGCACCTGGCTGTCTGCTGTCTGTGCTCGTTCTCGTAGAGGACCATGACATCAGGAAGGTGATGCCAGGACATGCAAGTGAACTGGACTGAAGTGGAGGAGGGCTGTGCAGTCACCACCTGGCACACAGTAGGCCTTTAATAAATGGACCTTTGCTTCCCTCCTTCAAGCCCCACTCCTAAATCTACTGCCAAGGCCTGCCTGCTCTCTAAACTCACCAGGGCTGCCCTGTTCACCCCCTTCCCCAGTTCAGCCTATACCAAGAGCCTCCTACCTGGTCTATCCTGATCCCCCTCCAGCCTTACGGCACTGGGCATGTCATCGTTCTGTTGCCCCCGCTCCTGCTCTCATCAGGTCACTCCCCATCGCTTATAGAATAAAGTGTAAACTTGGGAGCTTCACTAGAGCCAATGTCCAACGTTCTTTTTTTTTTTTTTCCTTAACTCCTAAGCCCCTTCTCCCCCTTTGCATGAAAGCTATGATCCAGGCAAATGGGATTGTTTTCCTGTCTCATCCCTGCCTCCCTCCACCCCTCCTAATCTGCACTGTCTTCTATTCCTAGAATGGACTCTGTCTACTTTAGTCCTCTTCCCTTCAAGGATGGAGACAGCTAGGCTGCATGGTGGGCAGAGTCAGGAAGACCTGAGTTCCAATCTGCCCCCAGACACTTAAGACCTTGGGCAAGTCACTTAAACTCTGTATGGTCTCCTTAACTGTAAATGAAGATAATTAAACAATACTCACCTCCTAGAATTGTTGTGAGGACGAGAAGAGAAGATGATTGTAAAGCACTCAGCACAGTGAGCCCCACTGACTCTACCTTGTGACTCAGTTCTAGATCTGGTTAAGTTCGCCTTCTATTTTAGTATGGGAATTGGGAAAAAAATTTTGCTGCAGCATCTGTCCCTGACCCTGTTATGTGGGAAGCCAGGTCACCTCTCTCTGCTGCTTAGGGCCTAGGTTATACTGACCAGAAACTCAGCCCGATTCAAAGACTGATGCAAGAAGTTTTCTCACAATTTCTGCATTTCAAGCAGCTGACAGTTCTTACTTGAAAACTGATCACACTGATCAATTACTGTTTCCATGTTCCTCTACATGTTCCACTGATTGAATACAGACACTTGGAGGATGCGGTTCACCTCTTTTTCTGATTTCAGGGAATTGCACCTATTTACTCTCCCCCTTCCAACTCAAAAAACTAATCTCTCCTTCAATTAGAAATCACATTGCTTAATTATACATCCTAATTTGTATCCTGCTTATTGTTAATCTTTTAATATAAAAATCTGTCTCCCTCCATATTCGTGGCCCAATGCCAAGCTGAGGAAGCCTGGTCCCAATTTGTTATGCAATTGGCATGCATTGCTTAATAAATCAACATGATCTGAAGCACAAACCTCATGCAACCGTTTTTTTGGTGAGCCAGCCAGGAATACAATACAATAAGTACAATACTGTGTCTAAAACGCCAGGATGTGGTTAGTTTTAATTTATAAGTAAAAGATAAATGAAATGTATCTGTTAGGGAAACACAAGAATATTAATGGTATTCAAGCCCGAAGTTGTAATTAGTAAAATTTTGCTCATTGTGGAAAAATGTCTTGAGTTTCGATTACAGGGATGGTTGTCTGAATTGTCACAGAGACAACAGCAGATAATGGCATGTGCTGCAATCTGAGAATTGCTACAGGTAGGTGTCTGTCCCTGGGAAAAGTTGAGGGGATGACCTTGGTGTGGCCTAAGGTAGGAGCCTCTTTGCTTCTGAACAGGAAGTTTCCCCACTGCACTATTTTCTTTCTGAACAGAAAATCTTCCCATCTGGTTAATCCCGAGCCTGGCTTTGGATACCCTGTGATTTACATGACTGGCTGTCAGATATGACTCATGAATGGAATTAAACAGAACTAAGAGAGCTTGCCCCATGTTACAGGTATATGTCAGGTCAGTCTGTGCCCTTAAGCGAATGAGGCTTGACACTGCTATAACTATATTCTTCTTTTTCCTTTCAGAGAAAATCTCTATAATCAGGGCAGGTGAGCAGTAAGGGTTTTATAAGTATGGTACTAAATAGATTTGGACTGGAACATCTCTGAGTTACTATAATAGGATGCAAGTATGAAAAATCCTACCATTTTCAAGACAAAGATGTAATGCAAAAGTTTTCTAATTAAATGGAATACGCCTTGAGAAAACAACAGGATTTGATTGTTTTCTCTAAGAACTATATACATACATACATACATACATATATGTGTGTGTATATATATATATATATATATATATATATATATATACACACACACATACATGTATATATATGATAGACTTCTAAATGTATCTAGTAAGAAAATTCAGGCTTTAGTAATAAGCTCTCAAAATTGGATTAAGGATTTATATAAAGGATTTAAGGATTTGTATAAAGTTACATTAAGAAACTGAAATTATTTCCCCATTTCTAAAGTATCCGTCTGATAATTTTAAAAGACAGAAGAGTTCACCTGCAGTTAGACACTCGTTTTGTTTTTTTTAATTCTTATATCAGGTACAGTTTAGATAAAGATAGAGGATAGAAACAGTTAGTGGTACATTAAAACTAAAATTCTCTGAAGTTCCAGGTTTGGAGAGCACAATTTAAGATATTGTACACTAAACAGTATTAAGTCTTGTTACTGGTGGATTTTAGAGCAATTGTCTAGGAATGTCTACAAGTAATTTGGAAACAGAAAAGCAGGGCCCCCTTCACAGCTGTCCTGAGAATGAGACCTATTCCAGAATGTTCAAGAGAAGATATTTCCAGGGCCCAGATGACTCCATGGGACATCTGGGACTCAAGAGGAAATGATTAAATGGACGCTGGCAGTGGGTTACTAGGACATAAGGAGACCTAGATGTTATTCAGTACTGATGATCATCATTGTATAGCTTTGGCCTGATGTTTCATGGTGCTTATCTTTGCTGAGTTTTCTTGGTTACCTTGTGACATGTAAATCTCCTCTCTCAAAGTTGATACAGTGTGAGTCTTCTAAGTAGTTGGGTCCACAGCCTGAGTCACGTCATTCTGATTATGAATATATCTCAAACCTTGATCCATGGGCATGGGAGGGGGCATGAATGGAAAGGGGGAATTTTCAATCAAAGGAAGTCCAAAAGGGAACTGGTCCCAATTTACTGAGCAACTGGCATACAGTGCTTAACGAACGGATATGCTTGTAGCTTAACATGACTTCAGTCGTTGAATCAATCACCACACCAGTGTCTGGCGCTGTGAGGGGCTTTATAATGCTCATTCTCTTCCCTTCCGTCCCAGCTCAGTCCCAGGATCCCAGCAGCCCATGTGAATGCACCTGCTTCCTCCTTTCTTTGCAGCTCCAGCTCCTGCTACCTCAGGCCCTGGAGAGAAGGTCAGGATGGCGGCCATCCCTCCCTAGCGCTGCGCTTGGGTGTCCAGCCGGCAAGCAACAGATGAGGGGGCCGCCTAATTAACGTATGTTCGATCACCCTGGCTGAACCACAATGGCATGACCGACAGGGAAGGGCTCCTCCTGGAGGGGGCGGGACATGACAAAGGAATTTCTGGAATTCCTTCCAGACCTGATAAACCAACATCAGTGGCTATCCTTCTACTAAACTAAAGGCGATGAAAATCAACCTTCCAGCTGATATTGCCATGGCAAGGTCCCAAGGGCTCTGGCAGAACCTCAAGGTCTGAAGGCTCCTCAGAGAGCTGGATCTCAGCAGGGGGGCTAGCCTCACATCCTTCCCTCCCTGGCAGCAATCTCAGGATGGGGGGGCTCACTACCTCTGAGGCTTTCCGGCAGGTGTAGCCTAACCCCTCCCCAGAGCAGCCTCCTCCCTCACCTGCTGCTGGCTCTGATGGTGGAATTTCAGCAGATGCTGCTGCTGCTGCTGCACAGCCACCTGCAGCTGCTGCTGCTGCACAGCCACCTGGAATTGCTGCTGCTGCTGCTGCTGCTGCTGCTGCATGGCATTCTGCTGGGCCTGGAACTGCTGCTGTTGCTGTTGTTGCTGCTGCTGCAGCGCCACCTGCTGCTGAGCCTGGAACTGCTGCTGCTGCTGCTGCTGCTGTTGCTGCTGCTGCTGCTGCTGCTGCTGCAGAGCCACCTGCTGCAGCTGGAGCTGGGCTGCAAAGACCACAGAGCCTGCCCTGTCCAAAAACCCTCCAAGGCCCTGGCTCAGCCTGGCACTGCCCCGCCCAGCTGCTGCCAGCTTTCTTTTGGGGGGGGAGTTGGCTGCTCCTGGGAAGCCCCCAATAGAGCAACCTGCTGAACTCCGCATGCCCTCTGACCTAGCCAAGCTGCCCCCCCAGAGACAGAAGAGGCAGCATGTCCAGGACAACAAAAATACAGAGGACGGCTCCTTCTGTGGGAAGGAGGAACCGGAAGCCAAGGGCTTTGCACTCCTTCAAGTGCTGGCAAGGGAACGGGAGGATTAGGAAAAGGCCGAGAAGACTTCCAAAAGCTGACTGAGCAGCAGCCGAGCGCTCCCCGAGGCCGGGCCAGGAAGCCCACCAGCCCCTCTCGACAGAGAGGAACGAGACACTACTTCTGAGCTTGGCCAACCCGGGGTGTGCGTGCTGGGGGGTGCTCGACTAAGCACACTCATGGCAGCGTTTTGTTTCTCTTTTTGTCATTGTAGGGAGAGAAAGTGGGAAGGAGGGAAAAAAAATCTGTTAATTTAAAAAAAATTAAAATACAAAACCCAGCCCTTCCTTCTTCTCTACAGTGACTTAGAATTGCTAGCTAGCCTTGATCTTCTAAGAGGAGCCCTCCTGAGCCCTCAGCATGGCCAGAAACACCAGCCATTCACAAAATACCCTCAAAGAACGGCTTGGGGAAGCCATGCCCCACACCCATGACTCCACTGGTCCCGAGTGGCTAAAATCTCCAGTCCTGCTCCCCCCGGAAACAAGTCTGCACAACTGAGAGCTGGGGAAGGACAGCGTGGCGTAGGCGCGCGTCCCCCAGCAGCAGGGCCGGACCCGAGGACGCTGACTCACTTGTCAGTGACTCAGACACCGCTAAAAGTGGGGATGTCCACTGGTGAGCGATGTCATACACACAGCTGAAATGACAGGTCCCATCCAAAAACAATGGGGGCGGGAAACAACCCCTTACCCTCATTAATCACGTCCAAGAACAAGACCAGTATCTTCAGAAATAAGAGGAAGTTCTGGACTGGATGGTCCAGAAAGAAGCCAGATAAAAGAACAAAATGAAAATGCTTCCTCTTCCTCCACCCTGTGTACCACGGCTTGAATCCTTCAACAACAAAACGAAGCCTTCCTCATGAAGGGTGGGGACAGTGGCAAGAGGTCAGCTCGGTGGCAGGGCCCAGGAAGACTGGGAAGGGGAGGAAGGCCCAAGCCTACAGTGAGAAAACCTCCTCTCGACTCCCCTCCCAAACTCAGCAGGCTCCGAGGGAGCCAGAAAAGCAAGGGGCTGTCCAGCTGAAAAGCCCCTCACGACTACTCCCACTACAGTGAGCCCCTCTAAAGCAAGGAAGCCAGGCAAGAAGGGGCTCAGAGACTGCAGCCAAAGTGCAACCTTTCCAATCTGGGAACTTTTCTGCACTGTTCTGAGACTCCCCCGGGCTCATCCACACCGGCTCATGCTCCATCCTCCCCCATACAACACAAGGCTGGCAAAGAGGCTCCCACAGGAAGGAAAGACAACCATCCCACAAAATTTTTCTTCCTGACACAAATGCCAATCAGGGAACCACAAGGGCCAGAGGCAGCAGGCGCTGGGGAGAGGGGCAGCCACAGAGGCGGGGATCACAGAGGTGAGTGTGCCTGTGCAAAGGTTCCAGAAATGCCCCTTTGGGTCAGAGCTTCCTCAAAGCTTCCTGACAATGAACAAATGTTTCACAGAATTATAGATGTCAGAGCCAGAAACTACAGGACCGAAGAGCTGATCCAACTCTTTCACCTACAGCTGGGGAATCTAAGGCCTGGAAAGAATTAGTCAACCAAAGAATTGGAAGGGCTGGGGAGCCCACCAAGGACAGCTCCTCTTTTTACAGAGGGAGACGCCAAGGCACCGAAGGTGTTAATGGCTTTCCCAGGTCCCACAGCTAGCTTCTTCCCTATTACTGCATTGCCTTTTAGGTGAACTGTCCAGAATCGTGGATACTATGTGAGAGAGAAAGGATTTGAGCCCACTTCCTCTCCCTTTCCACTTTGCTGAACAGCCTTGATGCCGAGTCCTGTCTTGTGCAAGGCAGGATGGAAGCATACGCAGATGCAGCTGAGGAGAGCTGAAGGCCCAGAAGCTGTCTTTATTCAACTGACACAAGACATCAGTGCGGGCAAGACGAACGCAGGGGCATGTTTAAATGACTAAAGAATCTTTGTTGTCCAGTCAATGCCCGTCAACTGGGGAGCAGCTGTGTGAGCTAGGGTCCCCAAATAGAAGGGAAGGCGGCCGTGCCGTAAGAAATGCTGCTATGGGATGGACGCAGAGACACAGAGAAGCCTGGCAAGACCTAAGTGGACTGATGCAGAACCAGGAAGACAGTCTACACAACCACGGAAACAGAAAGAATCCCCACAAAATAAACAAAACAATGTTGAGGAATTATGAAGAAGAATCTGGTTCCAAAGAAGAGACACCTCCTCCTCCTTCTCTAGAGTTTTGTACATCAGTTTTGCTAAAAAAATCTTTCTTATTTTTTTAAAAAAATTCTTTATTATAAAGGATGTCTCTGTGACAGGGAAGAACAGGGACACAAAAAAATCTAGGAGACGCAAAAACAAAATTTTGATAGTCATAAAAAAACTTACTTTAAAAAGAATGGCTTTAAAATCATTCTGCATTATCAATTTATAATCAATAGATACACTAATTATCAATTATTTTTATTTGCTCTATTAGGTAACATTTTGTTGTTGGAGTTTAGAGTTGTGATATCTACCCAAAATCACCTCCCTCCCCCTGCCACCTCTCTTAGGTCTTGATTAGAACCCAGGTCTCCTAATCCCAAATCAATGTCCCTTCGATGAGCTCAGGTACCATCTCCCTCCTGCAAGGCTGGCACAGGCTAGTGATCTTCATGGGATTCTGCACCCTCGCCCTTCACTCTAATCCCTCCAAATTAACACTTTTTTTCGGGAAATGCCCCAATCTATTTATTGCTTGGGGGCCTGCACCCTGCAGCTTTACTTCAACTTTGGACAGAAAGGGGAACGAGGAGATCGAATACTCTGTTCCACAGCGGGTCCTATTCAATCCACTGCCTCCACCCCCAGTGACTAGCAGAATGCCACTAGTCACTGTGGGTGCAGGCACCTGCAGATGCCTCAGAAATGCTTGCTGACTGAATGATGGCCAGAAGGGGCAGCATCCCTGGGACCCAAGGCAAGAGACAGCTGAGAAACAAGGTCCAACACTACCATCAACAAAAAGGTGGCAGGACATTAGTTAGGTCCTGAGATCAGACTTTAGAGCTGGAAAGAGACTGCAGATGTTACCTGGCAAAGCCCCTCCATTTTACACAGGAAGAAACTGAAGCCTAGGGAGAGGGTGGGGTCCCTCAAGGTCACGCGGATCATAAATGGCAGAAGCTGGACAGGAAGCCAGGTCTCCTGATCCCTAGCCCCAGCTGACTTCCTCACAGCCAGAAGTCTCACCGTGATGTCAAAGGGCTAACGACACTTGGAATGAAGGAACACCACATGACAAAGTGGTCAGATGGTCCATCCCTAGGCCTGAACGCCCCTCCAACAACAGCCCAGCCCAGTTCTAGGGCCATTCTGCTTTTGGGGGAGCCCAGCAAAGTCTTGCTTCTGTCTTCCCCATTCACCACAATGGTGAACCAAGGGACCCAGCATCTAGCTGGGACTGTGTCAGGCCTTCTTGAACCCTCCCCATGATCCCTAGCAGAGGAGACAAGAGACAAGGCTCCACACTCAGGGACAACATCCACGTCAAGGAATTCCCAAGAAGTAGCTAAGTCACGGTACTTACTCGGCTGAGTGGTGGCAGAAACAAGAGACATACCATGAGGGGGCATTGCTGAGGTGCCAGGCGGTGGCTGTCCCGAGAGGGTCATTGGCTGGCCCACTCCTCCGAGCCCACTTATCCCGCCCAGGGATTGGCCTGGGCCCCGAGACGCCATCCCAATTCCAGTCGCTCCAGCTGGGGGTCCACCTGTGAGGTTCTGTAGGGCATTCATAGGATCTGTGGGGGGATGGGGAGAAGTGGGGGAAATGGCACCACTGCTCAAAAGGGAGGGCTCAGGCTGGCTACCCTGCCCTGGGGGTCACCATTGCCAAAACAGAACCCACTCCTCTGCTGTCCATAGGCTTTCTTTCTTTCTTGGTCCAGATCCCTACATTAGTGTAGGGAACTGATGTGGAAAATGCTTTCCATTGATGGGATCTGCAACTCCCCTGAAAACTAAGAGTCTGGGAGCACTGCCAAGCCCAGGGTCTGGGTGGCCAGGGTCACCCAGCCAGTGTACCTCACGAGGGGGACCTGGAACGCTGGTGTGACACTGCTCTACCTAAAATGAGCCTCCCCTCTTCTCCCCCCTACCACCACCTGGGGATAAACTGAGCAGATCCCATGTTCTTGGCACTGAATAGGATTGAGCAAAAAGAAATTCTTCCCTAGAGCCAAAGCTGTGAAGTTAGCAGCAACCCTTTAGCTTAAATACCCCACCCACACTGCTCCTCATTAACTGAGCCTCAGTGAGTTTGGGCTAAGCAAGAGCCTGGTCCAAAGTGAGGGCTGCAGTAATCCCAGGTTTCGGAAGTCCACCACCAACCCCAGCAAACAAGGGCACCATGTCACCCACCTAGCCAAAAGGCTGCCAAGAAGAGCTCCCTCCCTACAAGGTCAAGCTCAGCAGGGCTCTAGGCCTGCTCACTCATTGGACACTTCTTGGGGTTCTGACATCTTCTGACCCAGAGGACACCCCCCTCTTCTGAAGGATGGAGGGATCCAGTAAAGCAGTATGCTAAGACAGAGGGACTAGAGGTGCCAAAGGGGCCCCTGGGTACTGGAGAAGATGTTTTCATTCGGGCCCTCTAAGATGTACTGGGAAATAACAAAACTCTCTCTTTGAATAGGGAATAATCCAGAAAATTCCCAATTGAATTAATCCAGGTCCTACATACCAGATGCACATGCACAGGGCCAAGGAAGAACTGAACAAGAAAGGCAGGGTAAGCAAGCCCAGCAGAGAGAAGACAAGTGTCCTAATATCAGTCTGGAAATAGCTGTCTCATTTCTTCTCAGGGCTTGAGTGGAGGGGGCGGGGCAGGCAGAGTGGGAGTTGTTTTCTTTTCTTGCTAAGACAAGTGGAATGTCTTGGTATGAGAAGGGAGTTCTCAATAGTCTGAGATGAATCAATTTAGTGGCCAGAAGCAATTTAGTGACCTCAAGTTTCTGCCCTAACTGATACTTTCTTTGAAAAACCACTCCTCTGTTCATGGGGAAAGGCATCCAGCTCAAAAGCACATTCTGAAAGCTCACCCTCCCTCCCCCCTCCCCCCATCTCTAAATGACTGATCATAACATGGAATTGGGTGAAGGGAGGGTGGGGGAAGGTTCTTACCGCTAACAGATGCCTGAGATTTCTTGTTATCTATTAAAGAAAAAACACAAAGATAAACCCTCAGAAGCACATCATCCATTAGCATATTCCCTCTTAATCTGTAGGCACTTCAACCAGCCTACGATCGAGGCTTTCAGAAGGTCACGTAAGCTGACAAACTGGGGCTCCCAAAGTAGGATGGCCCCCCGGGCCCCGATGACTTCAGAGGGCAGCAAGTCCAGCCCTTATGAGAGACCTGGGATGCCCCAAGGAGCACACACCGTTCTCCAAGAACCAAGAGACTATCTCGAACAGGCAACAATGGTGGAGATAACGCAGGTGCCTAGGGTCACCAAATGGTGTCCTCGGGAGGTTGAGAAGTGCTTAGGCTAAAGCTGGATGGCGGAGGTGCATGCAAGGAAGGGCATGCAAATCAAGGTGAGCCCCGCAACTGACCTAGACTCCCAGGGCTCCCAGGGCTCTAAATGACCCGAGGCCTTCAGGGCCACAATCTTCCACATCCAGGGACTGCCCTAGACCTAGAAGTCATAGAATCTTGGACTCCGGACCCAGAAGGGACATAGCTCAGACAGCTGTGGGCCGTGGAAGCTTGGCCAAGGCAGCTCACCCCTCTAGGCCTTTTAAGGTCCTTATCAAAATAGGGATAAGCTTCTCCCCAAAGAGCTCTAAGAAGCACCTTCAAGTGTGATAGAAACATGAGCTACAACTCATAGGAGATTACCAAATCCAATCACCTCATTTTATAGAGGGGGAAACTGAGACCTAAGACAAGAAGGGCTAAGAGGCAGTGTGCGGTAGTGGGAAGAGCACTGAATTTGAACCCAGGCGCTGGGCTTAAACCCTGAGTTGGCCTTGGTTAGGTCACTTAGCCTATCTCTAGGCATCTGTCACCTCAGTTTCCTCATCTATACAATAAGGGCATCATACTAGTGGATCTCCAGGTTTCCTTATGGCTCTAAAGTCTGTACCTTTGACTGACCCAAGGTCACCCAAGGAACTAGCGACAGGAGCATAAGGCATCAGCAAGGTGGCCCTGCTGAAAAGCTCTGCTTGGGCAGAAATCACCTAGTGACTCCAAGAGAGCCGCAGACAACACAAAAATATTCAACACGGGCTTCAAAGGAGATTTAGCATTTTAGGAGGGACCGTGCTAAGTTGGAGAAAACTGGCATCTTGAGGAGGGCAACTGGGATGTGGAAGGCCCCGGAGTGCACACACTCGGGGACCTGTTGAAGGAACCAGGGCTGATAAGCCGGCTGTCATCAAGGCCTCAAAGGCCACCGTGTGTGACAGCGCTCAGGCCTGCTCTGTTTGGCCAACATAGCCTGGACGTCAGGGGATACCTTGCGATGAGAAGGCCCAGGATCCTGGGAGATGGCAGGTTCCCTGCACCAGAGGCCTCCCACCAGAGGCTGTGGAAGAAAGCCTTTTTCGGGTGCAAGTAGCCTAGATGCCTCAGAAGACTCTTCTGACCCGGAGATCATGGTGAGTCACAGGATTAGAGACCCTCAGAGGCAGAGGTCAGCTAGTTCCAATTTCCCCAGGGAATGCAGAGATCCCTACCACAACCTATAGAAAATATCTTTTCCCTTAATCTCAGGGTCCTTTCTAAGTACTGACCTCCCCTGCCTAGGTCATCCAATCCAATCAGCATTTATGAAGCACCTACTTAGTACAATGTATTGCAACAGCTCCCGGGACGTAAGGATGAAAGAAAAAGCAGTCTCTGTTCTCGGTGAGGAGGAAGGATGTTTGAGGCCCGGGGAATGGTCCGCACAAAGGTGCCACGAGGAACTGCCAAGTCTGGGGGACACACCACACAGGCCAGTTTGGCTGGAAGTGTGTGTGTGAAGGGGAATGGGAAGACACAACAGAATGGGAAGTGTGGGCTTCACAATACTGAGCTCTGGAGCTCGTCATTTGTTTCATTTTCTCCTCGAGGCTACTGCCTCCTTGTTGGGAGTGAATAAGTCTTCATCAGCAGGGGAGGGATGGGGTCAGTTGTGACCTCCTAACATCGCAAGTCAATCCAGTTACACATTCCCAACAACATACTGAGAGGAGTAGTGACTTGCCCAAGGTCACGCCATCAAATTCCTATGAACAAGACTTAACAAGAGTCATTCTGTTAAAGGGAGAGGATTCTCTAGTCTGTAGATAATTCATGTACTTAGTTCTTAGAGCGCTTTCATTTCAGAATAGCAGAGGAAGGAAACACAGATGAAATTCAGCTCCCAGCCCCACAAAAGGAGGGGCTGACGGTGGAAGGAAGCTGTGACTCACAGCAAAGATGAAGCTCTGAGGTTAACGCTGACCTACTTCCTTGCTCCTCCAGTCACCAAGACTAAGATGCACAGCTGCAGATGGGATTTGGCTGGGCCTGTGGGCAACGGGAGATGTGACTGACCGTCCCAAAAGAATGACCGAGCACTTCTAGACTGGAGATGCCGTGAGGAACCTCTGAGCGGGAAGGCACCTGCAGGCAGCATCAAAGCCAGCCTCTACTTTCCAGCGAAAGAGAATCCGAGGCCCCAAGAGGGGAGGCAGCTCGCCCAAGGTTGCTCAACGGACCGATGGCTGGCCCGACCAAGGGCAACCAAGGGAAAAGGAGAAAGACGCTGACGAAAGCTCACCATAAAGGAGCCAGTGTCTTCCTGGCATTCGGGTGACTAGTCATGACATTAACATGGAGCCAAAGAACACAAGATTGTCTAAGCTGAAAGGCACTTAAGAAATGCCCTCTTTGGTGAGAGAGAAAGAACTTGAAACCAGTGACTGGCACATAACAGGCACTTAATGAATGTTTGCTGATTGACTGACTGAAACCCAGAAAAGGGAAGTGATTTACCCAAGGTCCCACAGAAAGTCTACAGTAAAATTGGGCCTAGAACCCAGGGCCCCAGATCTCCCAAACTGGTTCCTTTTCCTCTATACCACCATGGGACAAGGAACAAATCAGGAACCATTTACTTAAATTGGAAATCTTCCGTCTAAGTAATAAGCAGGTTCAACCCTGTTAAGACTCCAGATCAGACAAGATCAGACACATTCTTGTCTCTACTACACACCAGTATGGCCATAGCCCTCATGAGAAGGGGCTTCCCAGGCTTCTTGGCAAGAGTGGGAGATCTTGAGTGGGAAACATTGTATATCACTTGTTCAATATTAGTTCTGCTGAATTTTCTCCCCTTTTTATTCTAAGGGATGGGATTGGTGGCAGGGCATGGATGGTTACAATGGGAAATGCTGCTGATTTAAAGAACAAAAGACATCATTTTTCTTAAAATGTAAATCTCAAGCCTCAGAGGCCAGAGGAAATTGGAACTGTTAACTATAAGATGAGATTCTGCTATAGAAAAGCAGTGAGACAAGCATCAGTGGGTCTTAAGAACTTCATGCCACACCCCAAACAGATCTGAGAAAGAGGAAAAGGGCTCATGTGTCCAAAATTATTCATAGCACCTCTTTTCCAAGTTGCCCCAAGCTGGAAGCTAAAGGGTGCCATCAGATAGCTAAGCGAATTCTAGTGTCTGAGACGTCATGAAACAGCTGAGGGCGGGAAGAAATGACAAAGCGGACGGTTTCAGAGGAAACTGGTCAGTGATCGTTTCCAAGACCTGCTGCCAGAGAGGAGGTTCAAACGCAGGAGACATCCAGCGAGGAAAGTGGTTTTGTCTGAGGGCTCGTTTCTTTCTTGCTTAGGTGTTTGGTGGGGGTAGGGGTAGGGCTTGTTAATTGGAAAAGTATCTATAAAGAGAGAAGTAAAAATAAAGTAAACTACTGAGGAAAGAAGGCTGTGCATTTGCACCTCAAAGTTTCTCTGCCTTCGAGACAGCTCCTGAGAGTATCCGAGCAGGCCTGAGCCGAAGAAGGCAGCTGAGACCCGGAGTCACACGGTCAGTAAGTAACAGGATTCAAATCCATCGTGGAGAAGGAAAAAAGAACACGGGTGAAAGGTCCGTGAGACAATGGCGTCTAAGTCAGGAGCCGAGGGACGGCCCTGGCTGCAGATCAGAGGGAATGGCACTGACTGTCCTGTAAGCTCTCTGAGGCCAGGGACTGTGTCATCGGGCTTTGTGTTTTGTCTCTGTGTCCCCAGGACCTGGCAGCAGCTCCTGAATAAAGGAGAGGAACTCCTAAGCTGAAACTACTTGTGCCCAGTGTGGCCGGCAGGACCTCTCCAGACCAGTCCCAGATGCCCCTCCACCTCTCCCCTGGGCTCATTCTCAGAGTGTCTTCCCAACGGCTCCCAAAAGCCAAGAAATACAAAAGTTGTTACTTACGAATGTCTCGGAAATGGATAATGAGCCTGGCCACAAGGGAAAGATATTCGTCCTAAAATTAAAAAACAGGAAGCAGTTTAATCCAAAATGAAGAAGACAGACATTCAGTGACTCACCATTTCCCTTCTCTCAGCAGAAGGGAGCCCTTCTTCCTGCAGGCCAGTTGAACCACACACTGACAGATGGCAGGGGCTGGAACACAGCGCTGAGGACCCATGTGGGGAGAAAAAGTCCTCAGAGCCTCGGCGGTCAGGCCGAGGATGGGCCGAGAGGAAGGAGGGGGCCGAGACAAAGGGGGCAGACACAGGGATGCGAAACTCGGGGTCAACCTACTGCCCATATCCTCCGTATCTGAATGCCACAGCTGGGTGAGCCTTCTGAATACAGGACGTGGAATGCTCGAGCTGGGAGGACCCCGGAAGGTCAGGGAAGGATGGGACCAATCTCCTCACTCTAAAGAGGGGAAGCCGAGGTCCAGGGAGGGGAAGGGAGAGAGCAGCCCTGCAGCTGGAGTCAGAGGCCCTTGGCACCAATCAGAGATCAGTTACAGGGAAGCAGATTAAAACATCCATGTCACTTTCTCAATCTAAAAACCCTTTCCAGATTTGTTGGTTTAGGAAGGCGGATTAAGCTGAGAAAAAAAGAACTTTTTTTAATGGAATTTGTACTCAGCCTACCAAAGGAAACTAGACATGGGACAGAAGTAGCTCCAGTCGGTCCCCTGACCCATTTCCCACCTGGAGGGAACAGCTCTCTTTCTAGCCACTCAGAAAGGGTTCTAATCTTGATCCTGATCACAGAAGAAACTGAGTAGTTAAAGACAATTTCGTTCTTGGAATGCTAACCCCCAAAACGGTACTTTAAACTATCAGGACCCTTTCCCTGTTCAAGATTCCTAATAAATTGCCTCAGGATCAGGGAGGGAAGGAGGACGCTACTCCAACTTGGACATCTAGACTCTTCTCTAAGTTAGAAATTCCAGGACTTAGAGTAATACCAAATAAACAAAAAGTGTTTCTGGTAAACTCTTGCCCCAAAGCCGGAGTTCAGAGTCAACATTTTTTTCAACATTTAACTTCTCTGGGTCTCAGTTTCCTCATCTGTAAATAGGGCTAACCAAACCCACTCTGTGCACAGAATGCTTTGTTAACCTCAAAGCACTATGGAGACGTCAGCTAGGGAGTACCCAGATGACTTTCCCACTGCTGATTTTTGTGTTCAAACACGGACTGGTCTCTCCACAGTCGGTAATATCTAGGCTTTATTTCTTTCTATTTTTTTTTCTAGGCTTTGTTTCTTCTATTACTTTATTTCTAAAGCATCCCCAGCACATTAATAGTTTGCTCGAGGGAGAGTTTACAAAGCACATGGCTGTGGTGAAGAAAGCAGAAGTAACGTCAGCCCCGTTTTACAGATACTTTAGAAAGTGAGCCTCAGAGAAAGGAAGTGACTTGCCTGGGGTCCCATGACTAACAAGGGGTAGATGGAGGCCCGGCACCTGGGTCTTCTGAGCCCGGGGCACTTCCCCGGACTCCACACTGGCTCTAGCGTGTGGGAAGCCTGTGGAAGGCCAGCGCTGGCCAACATAAGGCAGCTCTGTAGCCCTGACAACTAGAGTGGTGATTGTGTCCCTACATCAATTCTGATCCAATATACTCTATCCCTTGCGTGTGTACATGCGTGTATGGTGTATGCACGCGTGTCTTACACGGTCTCTGTCCACTTCTTCTACCTTCTCTCTCCCCAGAATCCTCTTCCTTAGCTTTGGGCTAACTGGCTGCTAGAAATGCAATCACAATCCAAGAGCGCTAAAAAGTGGAAGGCCTGGAGCCATTGTGGGGTCAGGGGTTCCTGCAGATCAGAACCTGTAGCGTCCCAGAAGACTGCCTCTGCCCCGCCCCCACCCCTGTCCCGAGATGGAAGAGACTGCCTCAGGGGCTCCCCCTGGGAGTGGGTTCCTGCTCTAGCACCTCTGTGACCTTCCCTCCATGGGCCTCAGGCTCTACCTTGGTGAAATACAAGAGTTGGGAAAAGAAAAGAGGGAACGAACCTCCACATGCGCAAGCACCCACACACACCGCCCCCTTCATTAGAGAGGGGAAAACTACAGATGAGGAATAGTGAAGAGCTACTGGATAGGATCAAGGGTATCATTCGGTTGCTTGACTGGAGTTTGGATGGGGTCACAAAGGAAGACCCAGAGATGGCAGATGTCAAAACACAAGGCATCAATAACACTTAACACACAAGCACCAGGTTCATCTAGGTGACTGCCAAGATGCCTCTGAGCTCTGTGTCTGTAATCCATCCTAGGAACCTAGATGACCTCTGCAGTCCTTCCCACTGGAAGGAACCTCAATCTTTCTGGGCATTGGTGGGTTTCAGAAGGGATAAAAGCTTCGTCTGCTTCCCTTTCCTCTGGGGTCCTTCTCTTCTGCATTACTTCAATCCTAGACAGTCTCTGTGCCAGACAGATGTTCAACAGGAAATCTCTCCAGCTACAGCTCACACAACACAGGGTTTGAAGGGCTGGGTCCAACTCTTGTTTGGAACCTTCATAACTGGCTGAATCAGTGGTGCCCCTCTTATAGATGAGAAAACTGAGTTTCAGTTTCACTGAAGTGAAGTGACTCACCCTTGACCCCAGTGCTGGTAGATAAAGCTGAGACCAAAGCACACATCATCCGATCCTTTCTACCTGCTGCCATATGACAGCTGATAATGCATGGCAGACTTAGAGAAAGAGCATATGGCATGGAGGCAGCAGCGTCAACGTGATGGCCAGCACCTACTGTCCCCACCCCTTCTCAAGAAGCAGGTTTGCCCAGCCCATCACTGCCTTCTTACACCTGAGCAGTCAGCAGTTTGGTCCTCCTGCCTCAGTGCTCCCCACCCCGTTGGCCCAACCTCACTCATCAACAAATCGTGCTTTCTGAATGAACTCCCCCCATCCCAACAACATCATCCCCTCAGCCTCTGGAATCCTCAGCTTCTCATAAGTGACACAGATGAGAAAGTCCCTCACCATGGCCACTGAAATAATGTGCATAAAAGCACTCTGAAAATAGTTCTACGTCAATGAAAGGTATCACGATTCTTTTTATTGCTGTTATTGAAATGAGCCTCTAAAAACATTTCATTTTTACAAAAATACAGACAGGCTCTGGAGTCAGAGTTAGAAGGCAAAGGGTCCAGTCCTAGCTCAACCACTTACTAGCTCAATGACCCTGGACAAGTCCCTTCCCTTTCCTAGGCCTCAGTTTTTTCACCTGTAAAATAGGGAGACTAATTCTTGAATTCTCTCCCTGATGGGGTCATTGTGAAGAAATTCTGGCACATCACACAAAGGAGCCATGCCTTCCTTCACCCGAGGAGGTCAGGGGTCGGGAGGCTGCTCCCCCACCATCGGCCTCGGCCTCTTCTCCCAAACCCAACAGGCCCCAGCGGCGCCTTACCCGGGTTTTGGCCTTCAGGAATACATGGCTCTCCATGTCCTTGCTGGATTTACTGTGGGCTACTCCGGCTTTCCTCATCGCATCTTCACTGTAACACAAAAGGCAGAGAATGCGTCACTCATAGCAGTCTCGATCCCCGCTTTGCCTGCTCTTGCTCCCCAGCTGCCCAGGGACGCAGGAGGTACCGTTACAGGACAGAAATCGGGAGAGGCCTGGCCCCCTCCCCTGCGTGCAGGGCAAGGGAAAGACACAGGGCCTGGCACGGGAAGGCGGGCAATGGATCTGGGGGGAAGGTGCCCCTCACGGGCCATGGAGGTGGCAGGGTCAATGTTCCCACCAGAGTGACGCACAAGCAAACCTCAGAGATCAGTCATGCAGCCGACATATTTATTCCCTGTCTACTGTGTGGAAGTTAGCGTACCAGATGCTGGGCAGGGAGTCTGAAACATTCTGGAAAAGTAGGAGAGAGGAACGTGTATGGTAAGAGTGCAGGAATAAGCAACAGCCTGAGCTCAGCAGTTTCATGCCCAATATGTCAGAAAGGTCCAGCCGCCTCCCCCCCCCCCACGCCGCAGAGGCTTTTTTACCGTCCTCCTCCCAGAAGGCCCCCAGTGGAAGGCCTCAGGTGTGTGACAGACAGCAGTTGGTAAGCGCAGTAACTTGGCGTTTGACCAACCGAGATCCCGCATAACGGAGCAAGAACTCACCGGGCGACAAAAACTGCTGGGGAAAATGGGCAAGCATTCTGGTAGAAACTAGGCAAGGACCCAACATGCCACACTGCTTACCAGGACAATCTCAAAATGGACACATGACTTACACTTAAGGAGCCATATTACAAGCAAATTAGTGCAGTATGAAAGAAATGATTTGTCAGATTTATGAAGAGAGGAAAAGCTTGGGACCAAACTGGAGACAGAAAGGGTCACAGGAGGTAAAATGTATAATTTTGATTCATAAAACAAACAGTTTTCATACAAACAAAACCAATATAACTAAAATTAGAAGAAAAGCAGGAAACTGGGGAGGGGGAGTCTTTGCAGGAAGTTCTCTGACAATGCTTATATTTAAAAAATATGTAGGGAACTGAATCAAATTAACAAGAATACACCATTTCCCAACTGATAAATGGTCAAAGAATATGAACAAGTTGTTTTCAGAGAAAGAAATTCAAACTATCAACAGTCATGTTAAAAAAATGCTCTAGATCCTTAATAATTAGAGAGAGCTGTACAACAAATCTGAGGTACTGCCTCACATCCATCAGATTGACTGAGACGGAAAATGACAAATGCTGGAGGGGATATGAGAAAGCAGGCATACTAACGCACTGCTGGTGGAGCTGGGAATAAATCGAACCAGCCCAGGAAGCAATCTGGAACTATGCCCAAAAAGCTATTAAATTAGGCTTACCCTTTGGCCCAGCAATAACGCTACTAAGTGTTTGCCCCAAAGAGATCAAAAAAAAAGAAAAGGACCTATGTGTATAAAAATATTTCTAGCAGCTCTTTTTGTGGTGGCAAAGGATTGGAAATTGAGGGGATGCCCATCCACTGGGGAATGGCTGAACAAGTTGTGGTATGTGATTGTGATGGAGTACTATTGTGCTTCAAGAAATGACAAGCAGATCACTTATTTTTACCTTCTGTTGAGTTCTGTTTCCTCTTTCTGATGGTTCCTCCTATTGGTTTTAATTTTTACTTACAACTTCACCAACGTGAAAATATGTTTAATAGGTATGTAAATGTAAAGCCTATATCAGATTGTGCGCCGTCTGGGGGAGGGGGGGGGAGGAAAAGGGAGAAAAATTTTCAACTCAAAAGCGTATGGAAAAATAAAAAATTTGAATAAAAATAAATAAATTTAAAAAGAAAAAAAAGAAATGACGAGCAGGACAGTTTCGGAAAAACCTCGGAAGGCTTGCATGAACACAGAGTGAAGTGGGCACAACCAGGAGATACAGAAACTGATACAGAAACAGCAACACTGTAAAGATAAGCAGTTATGAGAGACTTAGTAACACCGATCAATACAATGACCAGCCACGATTCCAAATGACTGACTGTAAAGCATGACACATGGACACAGAGGGCAGGCTGGAGCATGTTTCCTTACCACCCCTAACTGTTCTGACTGGGTCCACTACAAACTGATGTTCTATGACCTCACCTGGGCCCTCACTGCTGTCAGGCAATCCTTCTACACCTCCTTTACCAACTCACTCTCCCACCCTCCACAGCGGCTCATCTCTCCTCAAGCCTCCCATGACTCCCTCTCCTCTTCCCTCTCAGCTCAGAACCCACCTCATATTTTGCAGATAAAACTGCAGCCATCTGCCGTGAGCTCCCCCTTCTTCTCCTCATCTCTTATCACTCAGGTGCCCCCTGTCTCACAGGATGAAGTGGCCTCATCTCTTACCCAGGCTGACCCATCCGTGTTTGAGTGACCCCAATTCCACCCCCTCTCCCCCAACACACTGCCTCCCCATCCCCACTCTGTCACTTTTCTGCAATCTCTCCCTCTCTGCCTATTTCCTACTGGCTGCAAACCTGCCCGTGCCTCCCCCATCCTGAAAGCCCACACTTGATCCTTCCATCCCCGTTAACTGTCGTCCTCCATCTCTTCTGCCCTTTGTAGCTAAACTCCTGGGAAAGCCACCTCCCCTGGGCCACACTTTCTCTCTTCTCACTCTCTTCTTAACCCCTTACAATCCAGCTTCCTATTTCATCATTCCCCCGCAACTTCTCTCTCCAAAGTTACTAGTGACCTCTTAGGTGCCAAATCCAGTGGCCTCTTCTCCATCCTCCTTCCCCTTGGCCTCTCTGCAGCCTCCTCTCTGGGAGTTCAGGCCACTCCCTCCTCCCCTGCCCTGGCTCTCCTGCTCCCTCCCTGATGACTGCTTCTTCTCCGTCTCCTTTGCTGACCTTTCCCCTAGAGCACTTACTTGTAGGTGTCTCTTGGGGGTCTGTCCTGGGCCCTCTTCTCCTCTCCCCCTACAACTTCACTCATCACATTCTATGGAGTAAATGACCACCTCTAGGCTGCGACTCTCAGATCTACCTCTCCTATCCCAGACTTTCTGTTGACCTCAAACTGGATGTCCAGCAGACGTCTCACACTCAGCATATCCAAAATGGAATCTTTCCCCCTGAACTCTCCCCTCCTGCTATTTTCCCTATAACTGTAGAGGGCCCTGCCAGCCTCCAGACCCCAGGCTTGGCGTCATCCTGCATCCCTCATCCCCCACATCCAATCTCTGCAACAATATGCCTTCCTCTCTCCTTTCCCAGTCCCCTGTTACCTTTCCAGTCTTCTTCCACCTTACTCCCCAATATAAACCCTTTGACCCAGTGACACCGGCCTCCTTGCTGTTCCATAAACAAAACACTCCATCTCCCAACTCTGGACATTTTTTCTGGCTATCCTGCAGGCCTGGAATGCTCTGCCTCCTTCTCTATTCCAACCACTGACCTCCCTGGCTTTCTCTAAGTCCTAACTCAAATCCCACCTTCCACGGGAAGCTTTCCCAGTGACCCCTCAATTCCAGTGCCTTCCCTCTGCTAATTCTGTCCTACTTCTCTGGCACATCACCTACTTTGTTTGTATTGGTTGCATGCTGTCTCTCCCGTGTAAGCGCCTCTAGGGCCATTCCTGACACATAGCAGGTGCCTCATAAATGTTTACTGACCGAATGATTCCACACGACTAATGTGGAAATATGTTTTGCACTGATTTTGTTTTTCTTGCCTTCACAAGGGGGAGGAGGAGGGAGGGAATTTCTAACTGAAAATAAAACTTAATTTTGGAAAAAAAATGCCACCAACATGTTAGATACTCCATGGAGGAGCTACAGAGAAACACAGGCAAACACTATATAAAATAAAAAGATACAGAAGTGTTAAAATCCATCAAAAATCAAAACAAGTATTTAAGAAGAATAGTTGTGAAGGCCTCTCAAATCAACCAAATGAATTCCCATAAGGGAAAGAAAATTAACTATAGAAACAGGTGTAAATTATATTGTAAATTGCATTAGGCAACCAAAATTACTTCATTCTGTTGGAAATGCACTGGGGGGGGGGGAGAAGACCTGGGGGGTGTTAGCTGAAGAGGCTCAGCACTGCAACGCTAAAGGCCAAAAAGCTGTACTTTTGGTCTCTAAATGCAGACAGAGGAAGAGAAAGAGGAAAAGGGCCACCCTGCTGTTACCTACTCAGAAGACCTGCCCCTAGCTCTGGGAGCTGCATTTTCAGAAGGGTACTGTCAAGCTGGGGCCATAAAGGGGAGGGCTAGGATCAGTTGGAGAGGCGTCTGGAAACACTGCCCCCGAGGAATGTCTAAAGGTACTTAACACACCGGGAGAACTTGGGACCATAGAAATCTAACATTTGGAGCTAGACAGGGCCTCAGAGGTAATAGAGTTCCGTTCTCCACTTTGAAGAGCCCTGAAAGACAAAACTGATCTGTCTTCCTCAGCATTAATCCTCTCCTCACTCCGTCTTACCCCAGCATATCTAACCAAACTCTCAAATCTTGCTGTTTTCACCTTCACCACATCTTTCACATGCTACCTGTGCTCTGTACTCACACATCCCACCCAAGTGGCCACAGCATGAACTTCCTAAGGGGTCTCCCTTACTCAGGCCTCTCCCCTGCTCTCCCTCACAGCCACCCAGTTGCCAGAGTGATTGTCCTTAAGTGCATGCGACTTAAGACCATGCGACTTCCTGTTTAATCAGTCAATTAATCAACATTTATCAAGAGTCACTAGCAGAGGATCCAAAGAAAAGCAAAAGGCATTACTCGTGCACAAAGACACAGACGAGCAGCGTCCCAGAGAAGAGGAGGGCAGCATTCGGTGAAAAAGCCCAGAGTCCAAAGATGAAGTGTTCTGTGGGAACTACAGCAGGAAGGTCAGTGCTGCTGCCTCACAGGGATGCATGGAGAAGACTGGAAAGGCACGAAGCGGCCAGGTTATGAAGGTTTTAGGAAACCCCCTGAAGACTGAAGATTTGATCCTTAAGGTAAAAAGAAACCCTTGGAGAACTTGGGCAGGGTCAGTATGACACAGTCACACATGATCTTTAG